GAGTATTTGACTTGTCCAAGGACAGGCTTCAGAGCAGTCTGTGAACCCCTTATGCATATGCAAAATGGTATGAGAGTCTACAATTTCATGATTTAAAGACTTGATTCCATGGCTTACATTTAGAAGGGGATGGTGACCCCTAAAAGGTTAAGGACTATTGGAATAAAGTAGGCTCCAATACTATTTATGGGGCCTAGGCATGACTAGAAATGGGGATTCCCCTTTTTCTTCCCACACCTGCTATTGGTGCACATTTCAAGGTATCTCACACACTAGCCTGCATATCCAAGCTCAGTCTACCTGCCCTTCACACACAGTCAGGGCCTCAGGTTACATCCGTCCAACAGTCCACTTTCATGAGTATAGGCCTGGGGTTGAGGCCCATTGTAGGGCCTAGAAGTGGGCCATTTGGGCCAGGAGGTCCAGGGTTTTGAGTTCCCAGAGCATGGTCTAGAATTGGGGGATGGGCACAGGTTCCAGGTGGGCATTTCTTAGGTGCCCTTGAACTCCCCAGCCCATGGGGAGGGACACAGCCAGAGGATGTTAGATTGGGGCCCTCTCCCTGGGTTTAAGGCAATACTGGTATACAGTACTACTCTTGAAAACAGCCCATGTGAGGAAGATGATGGTCTTGGAAGAGTTAGCTCCGTCTTAGGGCTGAAGAAAAAGGCCCTTCACTGTGACAATGTAGTGAAACCTAAGTTTTTTTTTTCTTCTAGTCTAGTTCTTTTTCCACTTAATCCACAAAAGGTGTGCTATGATAAGATCTCTATGACCTAGATTTAGCTCACCTGGCTATGACTAGAGCTGGTTCTTGGGTTTTGTAGAACATAGATTTAAGGAAGAAAGAAATGAATTCACTCTGTGGTGTCTCTTCTCTGGTGTGTGTTGGATGTATTTAACTAGAAAGGTGGAACATTTGAAAGTTTATGTAAAATTTGGATAATTGGCCTTAATCTATAGAAAATGCTGTGGGCGGGGGAGGGTGTTAATCACCTTAATTTGGATAAAGAGATGTGTTCCTGGGAAGAGTGGGAAGTTCATAGAATTTTTCTAAATAGAATCTTGTTAAACTTGGCTTTGAATTTGCTCAATATTTAAAATAAACACAATAAAGGGAGAATATTTTTCATAAAATAACCATCTCTTTAATTGGTTTATTTTGATTATTTAATTTTAATTATAATATTTAAAAAGAATCCACACTTGTATAGCTGTATCGATATTTTTATATCAAGCTGGGTTGTACTTGAAGGAGCTCTTGGTTAAGCTTATCAATAACAATAAAAAATACCATATTTCTAAATTTACTTAGAAATATGAGTATTATAAAGGACTGAGAGGCAAAAATCATACCTCCTTTTCCCACATATTTCTCTTCCAATTATGTCCTATCTAATTTCTCCTACCCTCTCCCAGATCCAGGCTTGCTTCTTCATAACCTGTGGTTCCCAGGAAGACAACTGCAGGTGGTTCCTACTGAGTTAGCCTGGGAAATGAAAAGTGGACAAGGTTTCTGAGACTGAGGAGGGGAGAATCTTTCAAAAATAAAAAGAGCAGTGTTAACTGCTTCTGCTGTCACTGCTCACTCAGTGCAAGCTGGCTTGAGCTGTGTCATAGAAAATGAAGAGAGATTGCATGGCTTAGAGTGTCACCAGCCCAAGGGCTGAGGTGCAGAAAGCTCTAGAGATACCACTAAGCAGGGGGGCACTCTCTAAAAGGATATCCTTCAGGGGTGTCCAATCCATGGCCCTGCGGCCCACATGCAACCCAAGATTGCTATGAATGTGGCCCACAAGAATATTAAAACATTATGAGATTTTTTTGTTGTTGTTTTCGTTAATGTTTGCTATTAATGTATGGCCCAAGACAACTCTTCTTCTTCCAGTGTGGCCCAGAGACACCAAAAGGTTGGACACTCCTGCAATGGAGTAGACACCAAATGGGAGGCAAGATAAGGGTTTCTCATTCTTGAGAGCTTTTGTTCACTGACTGGGGAGTTCCTTTTCCCCTTCTGCTCTCTTTTAGACTTCCTAAAAGTCTGTTGACACTCCTTGTCAACTGCATTTGGCTTACAGAGGATGCTTCCTTTTGGGCAGTCTCCCATTCTTTTGATCATCAATGGGCAAACCACACCAGTGGGGTGCTGAGTCACAGACTCGTGATATAGGTCTGGGAGATGAGAGGGACCACACTGGTGATGTAAGCTTCCAGACCCCTGTACCTTTCCTTCAACACTTGGGGTTTCCCCTTCATGGCTTTCCCCACTTATTCCATATTGTCAGGGATTATGTACTTCTTGTTGGAGGATATTTCCCTCTGTATACATAAATATCAGACATTGGTGCTTATGTGTTTCCAGGCCAAGTGTCTTTTATATGGGTATCTAATAAGTCCCTGGGTGTGGTGGTGTGGGGAGTTAGAAAGCTCAGAAATGGAAAACATTTAACATTCAGAGTAGCAAATGAATAGAGCTTGCCCATTTGCATTTTCCCTTTCACTCTGACTCATCTTCCCCTCTCCCACCCTATTATTGCCCCTCCACCAGCCCCACCCATTGGCACACCCTGTCTGATCTAGGAAGGGTTAATATCTGCCTGCATCAAGGGATAAAGTAGAGGCTGGTCTGAACACTTTGGGGTCCTGGAGCCAAAGGGAGAAACGGGAGTTTAGAGACATAATATTTGAGCCCAGAAGGGGACCAAAATCTAAGGGAGAAGCCTAAGGGGAACTCAGACTATGTCTTGTCACCAAAGCAGCTTACCAGTGCCTCATTTGTTTATTTTCCAGTTATTTATTGGGCAATATATGATATGCTAGGCACATACAAGTGATTTATCACTTGTTGAATAAATGAAAATTTGTCACAGCATGATGAGAATAATGGGATAATAAAAAACAGTAAAAACATTTGTTCAGTTTCTCAGACCTCATCCTTTCCCCAGGTTAACAAGTGCTAAAGTGCGAAAAGAGGGGAAATCTCCGAAGACCTTGACCCTTTGGGCAGGAAGTGAAAGAAACCCCAGAGTCCTGATTTCAGAGAAATGTCATTTGTCATCAACCCAAGAAAAGAAGTTTTTTTCTTCGAAGACCACTACAGACCCTTTCTGGGGTTGCCCCCTTCAGAGCTTGATGGAAGGATCTGAGTCACTCACATACCCCATCCCTAGCAGTAATCCAGATGAACAGTGGTCATTCCCACAAACCAGTCGGTGCTTCCTAGTACCAAGTCAGGCATGCTTTTGGTCCTCCTTCACTCTCTCCTTGGAATCCAGATATTTCAGTCGTTTTTACTTCTGAGATAGTACAAACAGCTTCATCTGCTAGAGCTCTATTGACACCTCTGAGAAAGAGAATTAGTAGTATCTGAATGATGCTATGTACTGACAAACCACTTTCACATTCATCATTTCATCTTCACCCCCACCTCCAAATGAGATAAGCAGAGGCTATCCCTATTTCATGGATGAGGTAACAAGGCTCAGAGAGATGACTTGCCCAAGGTGACTCAACTAGTAAATGGCAGAGATGAGACTCAAATGCAGGTCCGATTAGTTCAAAGTTTGTGTTGCCTAAGATACACCTCTTTAATTCTAGAAGTTCACAAATGAAATAAGGAGATGGGAGGTTAGGAAGCAGAATCCCTGCATCCTGGAAGTAGAAGGGGTGTTCTTTCCTGGAGGGGTGAAGCAGAGCTAGAGGTATAAAACCACACCCCATGTGGGGACTGTGGCAGATTGATACTTGGGACACCCAATGGAAGACTGTGAGGTCAGGGGCGGGGTTATTGGGGAGGTGGGCAGGAGTCCAAACAGCAGTTCAGAACATGCGGTGTTCAGGAGGAAGCTACAAATGGTGAGTGGTTTCTTCTCCCCAGCTGAGACTTTCCTTCCATTATACCCCTCTTTCTGTTCACTTCCTGCCAATCTGTAGCCCTCTCCCTGAGGTGTCCAAGTAATAATCCTCCCTCCCACAAGGGTCATAACTCACCACACCTAGGAATATGCCTGCTGGGCACTGAGATACTTGGGTCTCTTTGTATCTGGGTTCCCAGTTCTCTTCTTAAAAGCCAATGTGGTGGTTTTGATGTGTGATAAATTTCTGCCTTGCTGGGTTCTGTCTTTCTATTCTTCACTTTTTGGCTTATGAAAAACAAAATTAAACTATCTCCTTATCTTAACTTTGAAACTATATATAGCCTCCCCCTCTACAGTTCTCATCTCCCTCTTACTTCCTCAGAGGCCAAAGTCTTCTCCAAAACCTCTTTCCATCCTTGGGTCAAGAGCCTTCTGTCCTGTGGCTTCTGCACCTGTTCTCTTAACTCACTGGACAGGCTTCTTTGGTCTCTTCCAGTTCCTTCTCTGAGGATGTGTTCTAGAAGCAGCAGCCTCAGGATATGATCAGTTGATACCTTGGAGACTGCCCTCCTGCAGCTATGATCCCTGCCTTGCTGACTTTTCTGCCTCTCAGGACCCTCAGCTCCACCTGATGGGCTTATGTGGGGACACATCAGCTCTCTAAACTCTCTCATGAAGCTGTTTCTTGCTCCATACCTAGCTGCCTGGACTGACTGGGTCTTGTGGTGATCTCTTTGTCTCGAATGAAGAGAGCCTGGCCTACTCAGAGTTCTTTCTCTGCAGAGGGACTCAGAGAAGCAGAAATATCAGTGTCTGCTATCCTTTAAGTCAGAGATAGCTAATTGGAAAAATCTAGTCTATACTAATCTTAAACCCACTGCTTGATACACTTGTTAACTACCTGGTCCTTGCCTTTTAAGTCCTGACTTTGATCTAATTTCCATTCTCCTGTCACCCAACCCCAGGCCCCTGTTATGATTCCGGATAAGATCAGGTCCTCTCTTGGGTTAGTTTATTTGCTCCATTCAGGACAGAGAGCTCTGATCTAGAACCAGCAACTTACTCTTTCTCCCCTCACCTCCACAGGCTTGAGAATATGCTGTTCCTCCCTCCCCTTTCTACCATGGACCTCACACTGTGGCCTTTGTCTCAGAACCTCTGAGATTGGTACCAGGCAAGGCAAAATGCCCCTGTCCCCAACAAGACTGCCTAGCCCTTATGACTCTGATCGGCTGGTACGGCTAGCAGCTAGGCTCTGGCCAGCACTGTGTGATACCATGATCACCGTGGGGAGCCAGGAGTTCCCTGCCCACAGCCTGGTGCTGGCAGGTGTGAGCCAGCAGCTGGGCCACAGAGGCCACTGGACTTTGGTGAAAGGAATCAGCCCTTCCACTTTTGCACAGCTTCTGTACTTTGTTTATGGGGAGAGTGTTGAGCTGCAACCTGGGGAACTGGGGCCCCTTGAGGAGGCAGCCAGGGCCTTGGGGGTACAGTGTCTGGAAGAGGCATGCAGGAAAGCTCGAGGAGACAGGGCTAGAGTAGAGCTGAGTGGAGGGCTGAAGGACCATCAGGAGGAGCCAGAGAAACCCACAAAGGATTCTGAGGGAGGAGTGGGGGGTCTTGGAGAACAGAGACCAGAGAAGTTTATTAGAGCTGGTGGGAGAGGACAGGAGACAATGCATGAGCACAGGACACCAAGAGAGAGCCCTGAGATAGCAGATTCAATGCAGGAGGGTCAGGGGGAACAGATGAGATCAGAGGAGAAACTCAACCAATGCCTTCTTGACCATGGAGGTGTAGATAAGAAGCAAGAAGTGATCATGTGGGTAAGGGAGAGTCCAGGGGGCTCTGAGGAAAGTCTGGGGGAGTTGCCTGGCCCCCCACCACCCCCAGGTTCCTTCCAAACCAGCATCACCTCTAGGCCCTGGTGGGCTGAGGCCCCTTCGTTGCGGGAGGGCCAGGCTGCCCTGTGGAGGAGCTTCCTGCTGTTACCACAAAGATATGGCACTCCCTTCTCCCATAACACCTCCATTACTGGAGCTTGGCAAGAGGTCTGGCCTCAGGACCAGAGGTGAGTGAAGGGGCCTAATGGAAGCCTGGCTGGGAGGGAGTGGCTCAGGTGAAGCAGTGGTGATGGGCGGAAGGGCACCACATCTCTTATCTCTGTTGTACATTTCCTGAGTTGGAAATAGGACAAGAAGCTCCCACCACAGGGGAAGCCAAAGCCCAGCCCCTGAGAACTCGTGACATCTTCCTCTCCAGGATGGGATCAGTCAGGATCCCAGGTTTTGCCAAGTGTGTTACTCTTCTTCCTCCCCCTCTCCCCTCCCCCAGGATTCCACTCTCTCTAAATCTCCACAAAGGGCTCTGGAGCCAGAACCCGTTGGCCTTCTCTAGCCCTACCTCAGGTAAGCCCCTCACTGACCTACATGAACCCTGTAATATGGTCTCTCTGCTGGGGCTGGAGTTGGGGCAGGAGTAGAGCCTGAGCAGAACCCCTTTTTCACTCTGCTTCCTCCAGGTTTCCTCCCCCAGAGCCCCACAAAGCTCAGCCCTGGGGAGATGGAAGAATCTGATCAGAGGCACACAGGTGAGTAGTGTGAGGGCGTTTTTGCTTTAGTCTCACCATAGCCCCTACTGTCTTGCTTGGGTGTTTCAGTGATCCAGCTCTGGGATTCCCTGCTCTGCCCTCCTTTGCCGTCTTTATCCCCACAGGTGCCCTTGCAACCTGTGCGGGCCATGTGGGCAAAGCAGGCCGCCCATCTCGCCAACGTCCTCCTCCTCCCTCTCCTGCCCGGCCCAGGCCCTATTCTTGTTCTGTTTGCGGAAAGAGGTTTTCACTCAAGCATCAGATGGAGACACACTACCGGGTCCATACAGGTATGGGCGCCCTATCCAGTGTAAGTTGCTTCTCTTCAAGCACTGGTCTGCCCGCCCCTAAGTCCCTCTCTGCGTGCCTGGCCCCCATGCAACTCCCTTGCCCAGTTGTCGAGTTCTACCCCCACGCCAGCCTTCCCCCCTTCTTTCCTTCACCGGCCTTTCCCTCCACCCGCCATAGGAGAGAAGCCCTTCTCCTGTGGCCTCTGTCCTCAGCGCTCCCGGGACTTCTCGGCCATGACCAAGCACCTGCGGACACATGGGGCTGCACCCTACCGCTGCCCTCTGTGCGGGGCCGGCTGCCCCAGCCTGGCCTCCATGCAGGCACACATGCGCGGCCACTCGCCCAGCCAGCTCCCGCCGGGATGGACCATTCGCTCCACCTTCCTCTACTCCTCCACCTCGAGGCCATCCCGGGCCTCGACCTCCCTGTAGGCCCCCTTCCTCCTCCACCTAAAGGGATATTAGGCTTCTTTGCCTTCAGCCAAAAACTGAAAAAAACTAAAAGATGACCCGGTGAGCAGGCTAGGCTTTTGACCAGGCACCGCGGTTTCGGTTGTCCAGCAAACAAGAAGCATCGCAGAAAGGATGCCAAGAGCCCTCTCCCAGACGACCGCGGGCTGCAGAAGCCTGGGTCAGCGATCCCGTGTGGGGTGTGGGCAGTGAAGTTTTCACAAGTTAAGGTTAACTGTGCGGGGGCGGTTTATTTCATCACCAAAATAAAGCGTTTCCTGTGCATTCCTCTCAGGACAAGAAAGCCGAGTCCAGACTTCAGTCTTGTGCGTGGGTGGGAGTGCGTGCACCCTTGTCCCTAGTCCTGTAGCGGCCCCTAGTGGGCGTGCGTCCGCAGCTCGATGCTGCGGCCACCACCTCTATCTGCCTGTTCTCCGCAGAGGGCCGGTAAGGTTCGGAGGTGCAGAGAGTTAGCAGCAAGCCCTGAGAGGGGAGGCTGTGAGAACCCAAGTTACTGCCCCTTCTACAGCAAGCAAAGGCGCCCAGTGTCTGAGTCGGGGGACACCCCGACCCAGAGCTTCAGGAGAACGCGTGCTCCGCTCTGCTTTCAACCACCCGCCTCCTCTCCTTGGGGACAACGGTCGCGGCTTCTGCGGCATGTTTCCTCAACGCTGTGTGAAACGGCGACCAGGTCGTACCTCGAACTGAGAGTAACCCTTGGCCACCGCCCCTTTCCCAGCCCAAGCCTCCAGCAGTCGCGAACTTCATTTCCCAGTGTCTTCGAGGTTCCCAGGGTAAGAAGACCCCTGCATTCTGGGAGTGGTAGTTCACGCGGGCCCCTGGTCTAGACAAGAACGATGGGAGGAGTCTGGGGCGAAAGCCACACCTCCTGGTGGCTCCGGAGCTAGCTTCCTCTCTGGGTCGGGTTGGGACCCGACAGTCCCAGCTCTCGCGGTCCTAGCTCCCTGCGGAAGGAGCGAGGCGCCTGGACTACATTTCCCTGAGGCCCCTGCGCCTCACCTCTCTTCGGCCACAGCGCGGCGTCTATGTTCTTCAGGCCCGGTGTAAGGTGACGGCTGACCGGCCTCGGACTCCCGCTCCCGTGGTGCCCCGCGCGTGGCCGGCCCAGCCCCCCGGCTCCCGCCAGACCTGCGGCGGCGCGGGTTGTTGTCGTGAGCCTCGGCTGCACCGCCCCTCCTCTCCCTCCCCTCCCCCCGGCCCTGCTTTCGGGCCGCCCCTCCCCCTGCCTCCCCGGCCCCTCTCACGGTGCCAAGATGGCGGCGGCGGCGGGCGGCGGCAGTTGCCCGGGGCCTGGGTCCGCGCGGGGCCGCTTCCCGGGCCGGCCGCGAGGCTCCGGCGGGGGAGGGGGCCGTGGCGGACGGGGCAGCGGGGCCGAGAGAGTGCGGGTAGCTCTGCGGCGCGGCGGCGGCGCGGCGGGGCCGGGCGGAGCCGAGCCCGGGGAGGACACGGCCCTGCTCCGTTTGCTGGGGCTCCGCCGGGGCCTGCGCCGGCTCCGCCGCCTGTGGGCCGGCCCGCGCGTTCAACGGGGCAGGGGCCGGGGCCGGGGCTGGGGCCCGAGCCGGGGCTGCGTGCCAGAGGACGAGAGCAGTGACGGGGAATCCGACGATGAGGTGAGGCGGTCGGAGGCGTCCCCAGCGCAGGGCTGGGCGGAGGCCGGGGGCTTCCAGGGGTCTAAGTGGCCCAGAGGAGTGACGTGGGGAAGCGAGGTCCTCAGGGCCCCTGCGGAGAGAAAGGGCCCTGGAAATAGGCATGGGAGGAGGTAGACGGAGCTGTCGGTGGAAGGGGGTTTATAAGTGAATAGAGAAGCCTGAGCTGCAGCTGGGCACTTGGGCCCGTGGCGGGTCATGCTGAAGTGTCCTGAGCAGATCCTTCTTGGTAGCTGGCAAACCTAGGGCAGTAGAGGTTTGGGCGAGGAAGTTAATAAGGACTGCATGCCCAACCAGTGATCGTTGACAGCAGCAGCTTGGCTTTAGTGAACCCTGGCTAGGGCTCTCTGGGCTCTTACCTGTAACCTGCCCCGCCCAGCCTCATAACCTCTGACACAGCCCTGGTTTCACCAGTGCCCCATTTCCTCTTCTGACCTAAAGTGGAGAGAGAGTAGAATGATGGAGGGCTTCCTCTTGGGGGCACAGGTTGAAGAGAAATAGAGTGAAGCCTGAGACTGGGCATTCCAGTTCAGGATTTATTCCCAGTCTCAGAAAAAACAGAAAGGCGTGGGGGTCCTAATGTGATAAACATTTGATGCACACCACACTTGGGAGGCCCTATTCCCATCTTTGTTCTGGAAGAAACTACAGCCCAAGAGAATGTAAACAGAGATCCCACTTTGTTCTTAGTTGGAGTGTAAGGGAATCTGATGGTAGTGCCTACTGTCTGGCCTGAGAAGACCCTGTTCTGTTTCCTTCTGTACCAGCAAACCACTGACGTCTGTGCTGGCATGGTCTGGCACAGGAAATGGGGGTTCAGAATACTTTGTGTCTTCATCCCTAAGGAAGGAGAGACCCTGTTTTCTACTCCCTTCACCTTCAAGACTTTTTACTTCTTTTGAAAATGGGTCCATTAAAGGGGAAGCTAGGGATATTCCTCGATACCTGAGTCTCAGGTGGAACGAGGGCTTTGGCACTGACTGCTCTTTCTCCCCTCCACCCTTGGCCCCCTAAATCAGGAATTTCAGGGTTTTCATTCAGATGAAGATGTGGCCCCCAGTTCCCTGCGCTCTGCGCTCCGGTCCCAGCGAGGTGAGTGATGGGGAAACTCTACCTCTGTAGCTTTATAGGAATGTTATTCTCACTCTTTGTGTCAGCTTTTCCCTGCTCAACTAGAGTCTCATCAGTTACTGAGTGTGTTCTGTGTTCAAAGCCCAAGCTACGCTGGGCTATGGGGGAAAGAGACAAGTAAGACTTATTACTGGCCCTCCTGGAACATGTTTCTCAGTCCACAGGGCTGGCTTGACCCATCTCCCCACACCTATTCTCCTTTTAGGTCGAGCCCCCCGAGGTCGGGGCCGCAAGCATAAGACGACCCCTCTTCCGCCTCCTCGCTTAGCAGATGTGACTCCTACCCCCCCAAAGACTCCTGCCCGGAAACGGGGTGAGGAGGGCACAGAACGAATGGTGCAAGCACTGACTGAACTTCTCCGGCGGGCCCAGGCACCCCCAGCCCCCCGGAGTCGGGCTTGTGAGCCCTCCACCCCACGACGGTCTCGGGGGCGGCCCCCAGGACGGCCAGCAGGCCCCTGCAGGAAGAAGCAACAGGCAGTAATGGTGGCAGAAGCAGCTGTGACAATCCCCAAACCTGAGCCCCCCACTCCTGTGGTTCCAGTACAAAACCGAACTGGCAGCTGGAAATACAAGGAGGGGCCTGGCCTAGGACCTGGGACCCCCAAGCGTGGAGGACAGTCTGGGCGAGGAGGCCGTGGAGGCAGGGGCCGAGGCCGAGGTGGACACCCCCTCGTGATCAAGTTTGTTTCAAAGGCCAAAAGAGTGAAGATGGGACGATTGTCCTTGGGACTTGAATCAGGTCAGGGTCAAGATCGACATGAGGAAAGCTGGCAGGATGCCCCCCAAGGAAAAGTTGAATCTGGACAGGGAGACAGCCCTTGCTGGAACAAGGAGCAGAAGTTGGAGGAGGGTGAAGAGGAGGAGAAAGAGGATAAAGACAAGGAAGAAGGGAAAGAGAAGGAAGAGAGAGTTGTAGCTGAGGAAGAGATGATGTTAGCCGAGGAAAAGGAAGAGGCAAAGCTGCCCTCACCACCCCTGACTCCTCCAGCCCCTCCACCTCCCCCACCTCGTCCATCTCCCTCAACATCTCCATTCCCACTTTGCCCTCCACCACCCTCAGTGACCCCACCACCTCCACCACCCCCTCCACCACCTCCTGCCCCAGAGGAGCAGGAAGAATCCCCTCCCATGATCCCGGCTACATGCTCCAGGAAGAGGGGCCGGCCTCCCCTGACTCCCAGCCAGCGGGCAGAGCGGGAAGCTGCTCGGGCAGTACCAGAGGGCACCTCTCCTACCACTCCATCCCCCAGCACCACCACAGGAGGCTCCGTGGAAGACAGCCCCACTGTGGCCCCCAAAAGCACCACCTTTCTGAAGAACATTCGGCAGTTTATTATGCCTGTGGTGAGTGCCCGGTCCTCCCGTGTCATTAAGACACCTCGGCGATTTATGGATGAAGACCCCTCCAAACCCCCAAAGGTGGAGGTCTCGCCTACTCTACGGCCTCCTGTTGCTATCTCCCCTCTTGCCCCCCAGGAGCCAGCACCAGCCCCCTCTCCACCGTGTGCCCCAACTTCTCTAACTATCCCAGTCCCGCTCCCTGAAAAGAGACGGTCCATCCTAAGGGAACCTACATTTCGCTGGACCTCACTGACCCGGGAACTGCCCCCTCCTCCCCCTGCTCCTCCCCCTGCTCCACCTCCACCTCCACCTCCCACCCCTGTCACTCCATCCCGGAGGCCTCTGCTCCTTCGAGCCCCTCAGTTTACTGCAAGTGAAGCCCACTTGAAGATCTATGAATCGGTGCTTACTACTCCTCCTCTTGGGGCCCCTGAAGCCCCTGAGCCAGAGCCGCCTCCCGCTGATGAATCTCCAGCTGAGCCTGAGCCACGGGCAGTGGGCCGCACCAACCATCTCAGCCTGCCTCGATTTGCCCCTGTGGTTGCCACCCCAGTTAAGGCCGAGGTGCACCCACCTGGGCCTCCATCTCTGAGCAATGGGCAGCAGCCTCAGGCTCAGCTACAACAGCCTCTACAGGTCTTGCAAACTCAGCTGCTGCCCCAGGCACCACCACCACTGCAGCCGCCGCCACAGCAGCTACCACCACTGGAAAAGGCCCGGATTGCAGGCATGGGTTCCTTACCGCTCTCTGGTGTAGAGGAGAAAATGTTCAGCCTCCTCAAGAGAGCCAAGGTGCAGCTATTCAAGATTGACCAGCAGCAGCAGCAAAAGGTGGCGTCT